TAATATTTATAATTGAAATTCTTGATGAACTAAGGCTTATTAGGCTTTATCTTTAGCAGCAGATTATATTCAAATAAAAACTACTAAAAAAGTTCGCATAACTTTTCTTCTTCACTTCCATGCAATTAAAGTATTTAAGTATAATTTTATATAGTCTAAAAGAAACATGAAAGTTGTGGAAAGTAGATTTATTCACTATTGGCTTTCGTATTCTTAGTGTTAATCCATAATGTATTCCATGATAATGTTAATTTTTTTAAAATCATTTTCTTATTAGAATTTTTTTCTTGCGGATCAATAAAAACTTGTTTTATTTTTCTTTCTCATGACTTCTTTCAAACTGCTCATCAAAAAGGTAAAAATAAAAATTTTAACGTTAAATCTCAAATACATTTCTTACTTTTTGATTTATCATTTTCCAAAAGTATGCATCTTTACCTGTTTTATGTATTAACCTATCGCAACCCCAATTTTTGATGCATACTATTTTTCTTTGTTACCAATCATTTTTTTTTGTAATTTTGATCTCATTCATTATTAGTTATCAGATATTGCTCTTCAACAACTGCTTGATGTATAAATGAATGCTTTTGCAAAATGCAGTTAAAATTTTTTTGCATTACTCCTTTATCCATTAAATTATTCTATCAACATTATCTCTTAGCTTTGAACGACATTTTAATTTCATTATAACATTTTGGTATAGTAAATTAGCTAGTCTCTATTTGTATTTACAATAATTTCTACGACTGATTTTTTCTTGTCCTTTTATTTTAGGGATTTGTTCTATTTCCATATATAGCTTAATCGAGCTCAGATTAACTTCAATCTTTGTTGCAAAAATGACTGACTACATCCTTAATCTATTAACTATTTATTTCCGTTATGATTTGTGATGATTGCTTTAAATTTTGAAAACAAAAATTCGTCTTTTATCACTGCATTCAATGATTAAGTAATAAATGAAAAAGCTTTTCATACTCTGCATAAAATTTCTGTAGCAGAAAAGACACGTAAAAATATCAAATCTCTAATTATAATGAATTATCGCATATTTTTAAAGTAAAACGAAAATGATTCACTGAAAACCATGGCGTCAAAGTGAAGTTTTTAGTTTTTTTTTGTATGCTAATTTTTATTTTGCAGTCTTTGCTAAGCAGTTCTACGCAAATTAAAAGTGTATTGTTTACTCTTTTTATCCTTTCATCACTCTAATTCATGACATTACTTGTTCTTCGCATCCAAACTACATCATTTACTTAAGCAGTCTTTATTTGAGCTATGCTATTATCCTAAATTCATTACGTCTGTTAGCAATGAAGTTTTATTTTTCTGAAAGTGGGAGTGGTCAGCGTGATGACAACAAATTTCAATTCTTTTTAATGCGAGAAACTGTGAATACATTTTGACTACAGGTCTTCAAAATATTTTTTAAGTATTTAGAATTTTAGTTTTTTGGAACGTTATCTTGTTATCTTATTATCAATTTAGGTCATTTTTTCAATTTCTAAGATGAATATTCGTTTTTTATCATTGCTAATTTTAGAATGATATCATCCATTTCTGTCTGTCAAAATATGTAATGAAAATTTTTGAAAAAAGAATGAAATCAAGTTTGTAACAATTCGGAGTGTGCAAAAAAGTAATTCAGGACTGTGGTAATCAAGCAAATGACTGGAAACCATGCATTGATAGAAAAATTGCTGACCAAGTGTTTGGTGCATGCTGTCAGCGATTCGTACCACCTGAATGTCGTAGTTTATGTATTTACGAAAGTAATCCAATTGAAGCTCGAGTTGTTGTAAGGTTTTTTGTTCATTAGAAACTGAATTATAATCGTAAAAATTTAGCACACTGAAGTTTTTTGACAGAAATGTAACTGAATTAATAGTAAAAATTTTTGAAGCTTTATTATACGAAAATAATAATTGAAGTTTGCAGTTAATGCATACCATACAGCCGTCACGATGTCGCTTATATAAATACTTAAGTTCAATTGCTCATTGTGCTGCTCAGACTCATGATAATACAGATTGCTGTCGGCACATGGGAGTTCATGAAATCGGCCCGCAATGCTTACAAATGTGCAAACCACAAGTAATAATTTGAATTGAATATTCCTGAGCTTAGTGCGTTCATTGCTTCCATAACATTACTATCTGAAATATTTGACTAGAAACAGACCAATTCATAGCTCTCTCACTTTTACTGTCTAAAAAATTATACAATCAAAATAGTAACTAAGCAACAATATCCTTGCACTAAATGAGTTTTGTAAAACATCTATTTTATTTTGTGTTACCACTAACTTTTCAACCCTCTAAGACTACACTAGAATTAAATAACAAAAGGTTTGGATATACTTTCAAAATATTTTTAAGCCTCATTTTCTTATTTAAATGTGATTTCATATGCAAGTTATAATTTGAGCTTTGATTGTGTTTATTGCAGAAACTACTATCATAGCTTAATTTCATATTATATTTCAAGAAAATTTTGTTATAATATATGCGTGATAGATGAATATTTTATCACTCACTTCAGGTAAATCCTCGTCAGATGTGGGGCATCAGGTCACTACGCAAGGATATGGTAGTTTGCTTAGCTAAATGGGATCAAATAATGCACTGTCATCAAGCTGGCTTGCGAGCAAGAAAAATACCAAAAAAGCCTACTGTTATGTCACAGTAATTATTTGACGATTAGCATAATTTCGTATTTTTTCTGTACTTCTTACTCAAGTTTTTACACGTGCATACAAATATTTAAGTAATGTTAAAGCATTGAGAATTTAATACGCTAGATGCCATATGAAGAAATTTTGATCAAAAATGCTATATAAATTAAGCAGTTCTGCCTTGAATATTAATTTCAGATGGAATTTTGCCACAGCGATGTAGCAAGACTTATGTTTATATTTTTATACCAGTATACAAAATCATATTGAAATGTTTCATTCTAAGTTTTTTGAAGGCTATACATGATTAATTTATATTAATTTGCATCAGTTACAGTAAATTTATGCAAATATAAAATTTCTTAAACATTTAATTTTATTGTCAACATGCAACTCACTGCCGAGAATTCACAAATTCAAAAAAAGTAATTAAAGAATTTTTGAATGCTGGTGAAATGTAATTCACTTTCATATATTATGAAAGTTTTTGAGCGAACAGTTTTGTATTCAAAAAGTTTTCCCAACAAAAAATACAACAATAAGAAATATTGGTCTTGTCAAATATGTGAAAGTATGCGCAGGTTATGTAAAAAAGTGGCGAACAGAGAAGGAGAAGTGAGTTCAGGAATAATCAGACTGCATTTCACGTGATCTGTGGCGGATAGAAAATATTAGTGCAACAATATCTTTATTTTTCGTTTTTTAAGGATTTTAAAATTTTTCTACAGAAAATTTGATGTAATTTTGAATTGAAAAAGTTGGAAAGCTATTTTTTAGTAGAAAAAAAAGTTTCAAATGGAAACCAGGAAGGATATACTGTATAATTTCCACATCCCATTCAATGATAGTGTAAAATTCTCTATGACCTGACTTTGACCCTAGAACATGAGAAACACGAAACAACTGGCATTATTCCGATTAAAAAGATTAAACATTAATTTACTAATAGCAAAATGCTAAAATGATCAGGACGTAATGCAGTAGTGGATGCAAAACATTTTGTGACATTTTGCAAAACATCAGCAGTTCAATTTGACTTATTGAGGGAGAAAATAATTGCGCCGTTTATTGAGAGCAAATTGAAATGAACTGAGAGCGCAAATTCACGTTTGATTTATAACGAACTTTTTAATAAATTTATAAAGATTTATAAAAAATAACTTTTAATTAATGGTCATAATTTTCTTTAGACTTTTGAAAATTCATTGAATTTCTAGAAGATCTTAGTGTAAGGATTTGAGCATTTAATAAATAGAATAACTTTTTATTTTGCATGGTGAACAAAAATTTTCAATTTCTTGAAATTTCAAAATATTTTTGGAAAAGTGTGAACTCAGTAAAATTCAGTTTTTAATAAGCTTAACTAAATTTATATAAATTGTGTTAAAACAGCAAAGGAGACAATGAAACTCACTGCATCATAATTGGTTAAAGTCAAGTAAATTAAAAGCGATCAAACTTTCTTGGAAAAATATCTTTTTCAGTTTGCTTATCCTATTCCATAGTCCATGTTGATGGACACAAATTCGTAAAGACAATTTTAAAAAAATTGCAAGGTTCATATTGTTTTCCAAGAATCTCTATACAACGATGGTAATCAGCAAAATAATCAGAACAATGTTTAGTACATTTCATTTGTGGATATCGTATGTAATTGGATGATGAAAAGAAAAATTTTTCTATTTCTGCTTTGTATTGTTGCTCATTGTTCTCTCGATCAAACCATTTCGGCGTAATCTCTTCTCGAGCTTTATACTCATTGTATTTCTGCTTCAGTTTCTGCATTTGTTCATCAAATGTATCTGGTATTGGATCAAATTTTTCGCTCATGTTACTTCTATTTTCACGTTTCTGAAAGAACAATCATTTTTCTATAGCGTACACCAAATACTCAAGAATTATGTTCCAACTACTGCAACATATTGAATCACTTTAGTGTAAACTGTTCCCATTTTGCAAAGATTTTGAAATAATTATAACTTTTATGTACTGATGTTTTTTGAACAATGCTTGATTTGCAAATATTAAAAAAATTTAATTATTCATTTGAATTTTTGCAAAATTACCAAATCCACTGACTAGTTTTTGCGCAACACATTATAATAAGATCAAAAGAAAGAAATGAAAAATGGCTATAGGGAATAATTCATCTTATTTTAGTTTTACTAAAAATATCACATCTGCTGAAAAACTATCTATCTACAATCTGAAATATTGAAGTTTATTAACTGGACCTGATTTTAATAATTATTTCAAAAAATAAAACTAGTTAGTAAACAACGACTAGGTGAAAATGAAAAGAATTGACTGAAGATGTAATTTATCTGAAAAATAAAATTTATACAGTTATGCATAATAGTTGCTTATTTAAATATTGATCAAATATAACTCGTGAGTTTCTTAAAATGTAATCATTTCAGTTATTGTTCAAAAAAATGCCTAAATTTAATATCATTAAATAACTATAGTTCTACTAAAAAAAATTTGTTCATGTAATGCTGCTAGATTGTTTTGCTTCATTTTCATCCCAAGTTTTCTTTTCCTTTGTTTTTTATTTGTTTAGCATCATATATTTTTTTGTTGGAATAATTAATAACAATTTATGGTTTTTTGGGGGACTTTCAAATTTAAATTAATTGAAATTTACCGTGTAGAAATATTACATCGATATAAAATTTTCTGGATAGCTTATACAATTACTAAGTTTAGTACTCTGTTATAAATTTTGTTGCCTGTTGTACTATGGATTCAAGCTAGATGTAATAATGCTATTATTGTGGCAAAATATGTTGCGAATGCACTAATTTAAGTCAATAAGTAGTTTCAAAATTAATATTGCAGGAATATTTTATCTAGAAACCAGTGCTAAAGACTACCTAGAACTCAATAATTTAGCATGTGAGACTTATTCATTGAAACACAGGGATATAATGAACATAATTTTTTTGTAACGCTCACAACTGATGCTATAAGAGGACAGAGAAACGTAAAATTCTTATGCTTAATAAGATTTATAGCATACATTAAAATGGTTCATTTTTTGGCCACAAAAAGACATCTCATCAAACATGAATAGAAATTTTGAGTGTTAGATTAAGTGTATAAATATTATTTTTTAATGAATTAAAATATCATTGATTAAGTGCCCTTTATACGATTTCAAAGTGATGCTTTACAATGTGAAGAATATAAATCACTTAGCTAGGATTCAAACTTTTTAATCGAATTGAACTTGATTAAACTTTGCAATTTTTTGTAATTGAATAAAGTATACAAAAATCAAAAAATTCAAAATATGATTGCAAATAGGTTAATGTATGCAAAAATAAATTTAGCTCTTATGCGTAAATAATTGTTAAGAACTATATATTACAAAATATTTAAGTGCAAAACTGATCTAGCAAAAATGAATGCAAATTTTTGAGGAAAAGAATAGCTTATGATTTAAAGGAACTAAAAACTTTATTTTTTGCATTATTAACTCCTAACAAATCTGGAAAAGGTTGTCTAACATTCCGGGCTATCAATGGTTTCAAATTCATCGAAGTTCGTACTTACAAATGACTATGATAAGCGAATGATTTAGATCCCTAATTATTTTAAAATTTACTGCTAAATTCAGTATTTCCAAGCACGTAAAAAGTCAGAAATTTTTCTGTAACTGAAGTTTATGAAGACTACCTATCGTAACATTTTTTGGAATTTAGAAGTCTAATTCTTAGAATCATTTGACAAATCTTTCAGCATCTTTCCAATAATCACTAAATGTGATTAAATAATGCAAATACTAGGACTTTGTTTTTTTTCAGAAAACACTGGAATATAAGGTTCTCAACTTTTTAAATTGAAAAACGGCATGAAGTATTATTGTTTAAATAGTAACATGAATTCTTTTTAATGCGAAGAAAATTATCAACTAATGAATATTTACTTTTAAATTCATGGTAAAGTACAAAAAATATGACGTATTTGTTTCCAGAAAAATAGTGTGATAAAGTTATGAGATTGAATTTGAAAGTTAGTCTGTAATATAATTTTTTATGAGTAAAATTTATCATTTGATATTTGGAAAATGTTGAAAATAGCAAACCTAATGAAGCAAAAGGCAAAAGATAATTATTTACTGATAATCAACTATTTTTCATGATTTTAAATTCATCAAAATGATTAGTTTTATCCAAAAGCATAGTAAACATATTTGGTGTAAAAAGAAAGTGCTCGAGTCTTAATTCTATTTTTTAAATACATTTCTAAAAGATTATTAATAAATTTTGAATATTTTCAGGAAAAGTAATACAAAGCCTCTTGCCACAGTAAACATACAAAATACAAAATCATCCCATAATAAAAAGTAAAAATTATTAGTTGTTGTAAGAATTTAGAAGTATAATTTCTGCAAAAGGAAAGCAAAATATTCAAACCGCATTTCAAATTGTATCTTATTTATTCATTTCAATTAAATTCTAAAAGTGACATAAATTATTTTCTTTTTTGAAGCATCTTGAGATTTGCCGTAGAAAAAAATCAACCTACCTTGGCTCATGTGAAAATCCTGCTAATCAACGATAGCATCCGCCGAGTTGAATGGATGGTATTCTGTAACAATAAGGAAATTACGGTAAGGTGTAAAATCAGTGAAGTAATCTTTTATCATATCTTTATCTGACTTTTGTTATATATGTAATTATTGCACACGTATTTCTATTATTTACTACTCACAGTACAAATATATAGTCAGAACCAAACACGTTCGGTTCAATTGAACCGAAAGCTCACAGTGAGATAAATTTAACATGGCAGCATTCTGAAGCTGAAGTATTATCTAAAAAATTACTTACATCAAGAATGCAGCTTCTAACAAAACTGATTGATACTGATTCTGGCAAGCAAACTGTTGAGGCAGTTAGAAAATTACAAGGTATTCATCAAATATCAAAATTAAATATAACTTCAGTTCAAAATAGTTTTGCTTGGTGAACTGATTTAGCTGTTGAAGCCAACTTTACTTTCTTATTTAACATCTTTTTTTCTAACTTCGACAACTAGGCAATTCAATAAAAAAGCCTATGATGACTTTTTAGGTAGTATTTTCTCAAAAAATAAATTTACGAGTAATTTTTGAAACCACAAAGCAGTTATTTACTCGTAAAAACTTTTGTTTTCTTCAAGCAATCATAGACCCGGAAACAGAATGCACTGTGGATGATTTACCCATACATAAAATAGTATTCCAATCGGAGGCACTGACTGAACGGTCGAGCAGTATCTCGAAATCAAAGTTTGTTGATTTAAAAAAATATATATGCTACTTATTTCTAATTTTGCGTTCAAAATAATTAGACGAGACAATTTTACAAGCTCTGCTATATCAGTTATTGTTATAACATTTGTTGCATGAAGTAGTTTTTTTCACATAATTGAAAATCGAGATCTTAATAAGTCTTAGTATAATTAAAGGAATACTGAGATAATAGCTTTTCTCCAAAAAAAAGACAATTATCGAAGTGTGAGTGATGTGGTAACTTTGTAGACGTATAAATGTTACAGAAAGGAAAATAATCAGGAAATTAATGTATTGGACTCTTTACTTAGCGATTCAAATGTACTATATTGGCTGATTGTTTTCCTGTGCTGTTTCCTTGGAGCTTTTATTTTACGCTGCATTTCGAAAAGTCGTGGAAAGCGTCGTCGACATCAAAAAAAAATAAAAAAATAATATGCTTTAATTTCAAATAAAATTACTACTAGATAACTGCTTTTTATTTCAAAATACTGATCTACACTGTAATTTAATAATCATACTATGTAATAAAGTAATTTTCACTAAATGCTCCTAACATCATTTTAAACTTAAACAGTATGGAGTAATTAAATAGAAATTATCTACAAATGATAATACTGTGATTTTAACATCTTGTATTTTTGAAGCAAAAACTATTAGAAATTAATATCTGTACTGTAGCTGTTTAACAAAAAATAAACTTGTACTTTTCTTGAAATACAAAGTAAATCATATATAACTAAACCAAATTAAGACGAATATTTCTTGGACTAACTTGGTTAGATCACTAATTGTTTGACAATAAAGGCAATCCTAGCACACAAAACAATTTCTCGAGTGGCTCCTTCAGCATTTGCTTGATTATTTTTAGTCGTTATTTGTGCACATATATCACGTGCTTTCTTTAAGAATGTTTTCATTCATGAACCAACTTTGTTTGAAGCACAAATTTAAAAAATAAAGCGCAAGCATTTTTCAGGATATTTAACTGATATGAATCTATAATAAATATGAATTATTGCGTGAATGATGACTTGCTGATCGTTAGAAGTTTTATGTCATTGAATGATTTACTCGGTACTTCCGTCAATTTTTTCGGAAATATAAAGTGTCAATTATCGCTTGAGAGTAGTATTCCTTGTCTAATTTATATTCCCTGTTTCGATGTTTCCCTTCTCTTTAAATTATTATGTTATAGTATAAAGTCACTTGATTACGTCTGAGTTACGACTATAGATATTTATTGCATAATTACTATCAATCATGTTCTTGTTTCTGAGCTGTTGAAGCAGCTAGATCTCCACTTTTATAGTCATCACTTAAAAATTCCAGTTCATGATTTAAAAAAAATGCAGAAGAATTAATTTTAAATGAACAGGCCAATTAATATTAGTGCATATATAATAAGCAGCAATCAAGGATACTAAATCTTTCGAGGTTTGACAGCACTGATTTTCCCGAAACTTTCATTAATACATTTTGTTTTTGTCTTCATTAGAATATCAATTCACTGTTCCTTCCTTATACATGTTGCTAATCCAAAAAATGTGAATGCTATTTCACTTTCAAACACTCTATCTTTTATTACTTAATAGTAATTCTGGTGTGAAAAAAACATATTGGGTATTCCAAACCAAGACTCGTTGCTGGTTTTTGCTAAAAAATTCACGGTACATAAAGCATGGACATTATGTCTATCAGATTGCTTCGTGTACTGTGAATTTTCAATACTTGTCTGTTTTTTAATATAATGAATGCACAGGTATGAAGGCACTGCTGTTCTCTATTGCTCATTTGTGAAAGAAGACATTCTGAGAACTAGATTTTGGTGTGTTACATCCCATACTATTCAAAAAGCAGATTTGTATGAACATGGAGTAAAATGCTGCAAAATACAAATTAAATTAAATTAAATGACATTGCAATGAAAATGAAAAACACTCCAAGTTTTGCGTAATTTCATGAGATTTATTTGATAAAAATTGAGAACAGACCACTCAATGATCATTGGACAAGATTTTAAGTTAATGCAATGTTTAATGCTTCATTTATTTATTTCTTGCTCTAATCAGCTTAGTTGTCATTTCTGTAATTCTGCATTATATTAGAAGGTAATTTGTATCACTTTAAAAAAAATTTTTAACAGTTACATTCTTAATTTCTATCACATCCTGAGTACATTAGTCTGATTAATTAATTATTCCATACTTTCTTCCTCGAATGACTTGTCTTCTATGATGAAAGTAGTACTCTAACAGGTTCCTCAATTCGTATTGGTGGTAAAACAGTATTTTTGCGAGATCTGTTAAACTATGAGAAAAAATTACTTTTCACAATTTTAGCAGCATCATGAAATTCATAACAGCAGAGGAAATAACTAGATGGCTTGGTAACTCTCTTAAATTAAAAACAAAACTTTTATGTAAAAAGATAAAGGACTTTTAATAAAATGAAAAAAAAGTTCGACGGAACATTGGTTTTTTGAGATAGTAAATTTGCGAATGACAAAATGGAAAGTACCTGCTTTCGAGATAACTGCAGGCGGTTTTTCATTTGCTTCTGCGTAAAACGTATTTTGAACATATTTTTCGTATAATTGACACTAGAAGTACCAAGTATAGCACTTGGACGCTTTTGAATATGTAAACTTTGTTTGCTATTAAGCAAGTTTTGGGGTTGAAATTCCAGGTTTCTAGGCAAAGAAGTCCGTTTCGACAACGTTGACATAATATGTTGTTGCCTTTCCAATTCCATTTTACAAGGTATTATTAGTAAGTTCTGAAGTTGCGTGACAGCAAGTGATGTCGATAGTCTACAATTTTTTAAGTTCTAGTTTGCAAAACTACATGAGATTGGAAAATTTTTACTCAAATCAAATTTCATATGCAAAGTTATTATCATTAATCACTTAATCATAATAAGTACCTCAAAATTTCTTGCATAGCTTCAGTTTTTTTGGTGAGATGCCCAACGGGAAATGGTCCATGTACGAATGAAAACGAGGAAATATCACTAGCTTGCCAACCACCTCTAACTATGGCCTCCTGTTGTTTTAGACAAGGATTGTTCTTACTAATTGATGAATGTTTAATACTGATTATTAAAGAATTTTTTAGACCACACGGTCCTGAAATAATCTTGTTGTGAACTATTTATCTGTATTCAGGTTCAGTACAGTATAATACTGAAATAATTTTAAAAATACCTCCTAACGATAAGTTAAAAGTGCATGCTAGACAAATTTATTCGAAAATATTCCAGATCCTCATAAGAGAAAAAAATTTATTAAAAATATTTAGTGTTTGATAAATCATCAGTACTGAATGAAGAATCCATAAATTTTTAGCTTACTACTGATGAGAAATAAAAAATAACAGTTAAAAAAATCATTGATTTTTAGATAGTACTGGATTCCTCTCTAAAGTTAATGATCTACCGGAGCTATTGCTATCATCACTGTTGGGTGACCGTATAGAGAAGCTTGATAAAGCATCTGCTTCGAAAGATTCAAATGGCGATGTAAATAAATCAGAACTCGACGATTCATTGGACACTTCTACAGAACTAAAGATTCCATGAGATGGTGATTCAGAGCACAAATCTACTTTTACACTTGTGTAAAGAATACTTCAAATTAATTTCGTTTTTTATTTCATAATCTGTCAGTATACTTTTGAAAATACGAATACTTGACCTTCATCAATGGAACTAAATGTATCGATAGTTGACTGACTGCTTAGCTTGCGTGAAAATTGCTTGAATTCTTTATAAGCAGCGCTGGTAGTTAAACAATCACTTGGTTTGAATGTTGCTTGGTTCCGCAAAGACACTAACGATGGTCGATTTTGTGAAACCTCGTTTTGATAACGTGTTATTTTGGGTGTATCAACACTGGCTAATGAAGCTCTCCACCGATCATACAGAAGCATATATATTGCCATAAAATTGTCATAAGATTCATTTTTCAGTGACTAAAAAAAATTTTTTTTAAATGAATTGCTTTTGGTGGACAACCATAATTTCGTAATGTTATTTTACTTGACTTAATCCTTGAATATAGGGGTGTTAGTTAGATCCAGATTGATTTTGGACCGGTACAAATCTTTACGATATTCATTTTAACAGTATCTTACTAGATATCTGAAGTAGAATGAATGTAAGTGGAATACTGACCTTTAAAGTAAGGTTAGAATCAATTCCAAGACTCTGCATAAGATTCAAAATTTGATGTTGGGGTTCAACTGGATCGTATGAAGGAGCAAGAAATTGTGCTTCTTTACATTTATTATGAATACTTTGCATCCATTGATGTTTTTTAATTTGCTCAATGGTAGCTCGCTTCTTCGGGTCCAGTGTCAGCATTTTGCGTATCAGATTTTCGCATTCTTTAAATTAATCTTTACGATGATCATATCTCCAACTTTGTGCTTACAATGCACTCGTATTTAGTAACTTCAGCAAAAAAACACTTTATTTCACTGGAAAAGATATATACCTGTACTCATGAAATAAGGAATCCGAAAATAGCCACTAAGAACACGATCACGTAATAACTGTAGGCTGGAGCCTTCAAATGGCAGTACTCCGCAAATGAGAACATAAAGGATAACACCGAGGCTCTAAAAAGATCATGTAAAGAGAATTTCGAACACTTTACTAACAAATTCCAGAAAATGATATGGTTTAAAAAAATATCTAACAATATGCTCAATATAGCTCATTAATAACTCAATGAATACCCAAACATCAATTTCAGGCCCTATGTATCGTTTTCCTTCGAAAACTTCAGGAGCTGCATAAGGAGGTGATCCACAAAATGTATCTAGTGTGTAATCATCGCTATAAAAGTTGCTAAATCCAAAATCAGCTATTTTAATATTAAGCGCTGCATCAAGTAATAAATTTTCAGCCTGTAATACGTAACTTATTTAGCCTTTAAAAAGTACATTCATTGCCTTCTATTGAGATCATCCATAAATTATATGTTAAGTTATAATCAGAACGTTTGTGTTAGCTGCATTTCATATATAAAAAACTAACTTTGAGGTCTCGATGTACAATTTTTAAATTATGTAAATAATCAATGGCAGATATAATTTGTGCAAATTTTTGCCGTGCATTCTCCTCAGATAAACGATTTTGCTTCGCTATAAAATCTACAAAATAAATCTTTAAGAAATTTTTACGAACGAGACAAATCTGTCCATTTCCGAAATTATTCATCATCTTAAAATTATATAAAGATAATTAAAATAAACAAAAACCGCAACAAAAATTTTTGCACAATATTACTAATTAGAAATATAGTAACCTCTCTGAACCGTCTTATGACTGCGCGAGAAGCAGTGTGATAATATTTTTCATCAATGATTTTATTTATTCACTTACCAAATATCTCACCGTTTGGAGCATATTCGGTAACAAGATACAACATATTCTTTGTTTCTATAACCTACAAATAGTTTTTCAAATTTTAAATTTGTACCATCTCGCTACTATGCTACAGTTAACATCAGAATGAAAATTAGCAAATTTTCCGTGTTATAATCACATGAAACATAAAAGATGCACGATAGATATTTAAGTGATGTTCAGACCTGATAAAGTCTGATAATATAAGGATGATTGAGCTTCTTCAATACTTCAATTTCTCGATAAACTTTATCTAAATTCGCGTCGTTTAACCGACCTTTATCAACAATTTTAATGGCTACCTGCAAGAAAGGATGTTTTCTGAGGGAAAAACGTTGCAAAGAATATTTTGCCTCGTTCTCGTTGTGTTAATGAAGAGGGTAAAATATTCCTAAATTGATCATTAATAATATGCAACCGATAATTTGCTAACAATTGCATAGAATGAATGAAAGGTGATTACTCTATATCAAGTTAAATAAATTTTTGATCGTTTTAGGCAAATCTATGTACTTTCCGACTAATAAAAGCGTTAGTTTAATCAATGTCAACTGCTACTCTAGTGCCTGCTTGGTTATATATTGTTATCGCAACATAGCGAAGAAGTTTTACCTTCGAATTAACGTATGATACTAGTAAGGTTTTAGTGATAACGGTGGAGGAACGTAACTTAGCATTAATCAGGGAAATTAAAAAGTGGAGAGAGCAGGTAATAGCCATCTCAAGGTAAGTCGTATAGTTGACTAGATTAAGCAATGCTGGAACGATAATTCCGATTTAAATGATCACCAGATTCAAACTGGAAGTTATGAAAAGTGAAAGCTGCGAAGATTAAATAACCTCTGTTTTGGTGATGCGATGACGAGCGAGTTTGACGAGAGCGTAACTGCCTTTTCCAATAGTTGATTCGATTTCGTAAAAGCCTATTTTGACGAGTGCTCTTGGCGGTTTCGGTGGTATTGCTGGCGCTACTGCTATTGTTACTGCCCAAGTGTCATCTGACGAAGTTGCCGCGGTAGTGAGAGACATAAGGTGAGATTAGAGTTTCGGACTAAGGTGTGAGGTCCACATGTGTAGCGGATACTGCTAATATAAAGTGGGTTTATATAAATAGTAGCTGCTCACGGTATTACGAATGTAATTAGTGATTTGAGAATTAGAAAGCTGAAATAGCTAGCAGTGGTGAAAAAATAAAATCAGACGCATGTTCTGCTGTTGACAATGGCAGTACGAGATTTGAAGGATCACGTTAAAATTGCTGACTTGCTAGTAAGGATACACTTTGGAAATGGCTGCGCTGATGGCATGTGTTTGTCCTTCCCACTTCAAGCTTCATTTTTCAGTGAGATTAGAGCAAAAGAGCTTCTTCAGGAAGACTTGTAAAAAAGAGGAGAGGGAGATGGAAACCGAATGACGTAAATTCGCAACCAATTACGTCATAAGAAGGGGTGCAACTTGCTTATTGCTCAATCAGTCAACTTTCTCAATGAATACAGATTAATGCGACTGCATTTCCATTTCCTCCTTAGTTTTTTCGTTTCTCAGAGATGGAGGCATGATTTTGGTCACTGTGGAAACCATGCTTAGAATTGGTCTCCAATATTTTTTTCCTAATACACTTGGAAATGGCTGTGCTTATGGGATCGATGTCACCCTTCCGCGCATCTACCACGCATTTATGTACTACAACATCGCTTCTTGACAGCTGCATCTGCCCATGGTCTATCTATCTATCTATCTAATCTATCTATCTATCTATCTATCTACCTATCTATCTATCTGTCTATCTATCTATCTGTCTATCTATCTATCTATCTATTTGTCTAATTAACTATTCATGCAACTATCTAACCCTAACCATTTATCTTTTTATCTATTTATTTCTGTATTCTTTTTTTATTTACTTCATTTACTTTATTTATGCATATGCAATAAAAATATCAGAACACAATCCAACGCCGGGATATACTTTATTTATTTACTTACTTACCTATTTACTCATTTATATTAGTTTATTTATTTAATTTATTTGCTAATTTGTTTCTTTATTATTCCATTCGTCTACTTATACACTCGCATGCTTCTTGTCTTAGTAGTCAGGTCACATTCTGCATTTCAAAGGGGCCGGCATTCTCAAACGATCGTTCACCTAAGCTAGTGTTTCAGATTGTTGGCTAGAACTGTCTTGGAATTGTAGCCATCACTGCAACATTGCAGCTATTCTTATCATGATTGGAATAAAATTTAATATATTCACTGCTTGATATTTTCTACCAGTTTTCTTTCATATGTAACAAAAAATAGTTTCAAAAGAGAAAGCGAGAAAAACTAAAGAAAAAAATCAGTTACTGAAATGCTTACTTTTTTATAAAATTGCTGACATCATTACATTTTATTATTCATATTAATAAACAAAATTAATGACCTAGAATTAATGTGAAAAAAGAGGTACCGTTATCTATTTTTCATCTCATTCTTATGAATGATTGAATATTTGCACTAGCGCAGAAACTCATAAAAAGCGAACTAATGAGCAATCTGAAATTTTTAAGCAAAAAATTGTAGCATAAATTACTGTTTCTGATGAAGAACTGAATGAGCAGTCATAAATATGCACATTAATTTTTGTTACTTTCAAAATTTCTTTATAGTTGCATTAAAAAACCAAGTGGTAATGTTCTAGTCATCCTTTGTATAATAAGAACAGACGAATAGATTAAAAATTATAAATTCACTGTTTAATTTTTATCTCGTGCTGTCATCTACAGTATGATGATGATAACATCAATAAACTTTCCTTATTTCATCAGTTTTCATGTTTACCGTATTCTGGGAAGAATGTATTACAAAAAGGCATTAATTCTTTTGTTTGTATTCTCACATTTTATCACTTTTTTCTACCACTTATCCTCTCTTCAGTTATATATATCCTTCGGCCCGATCAGAAAGTTACTCTTTACAGTTTTTCTTGGAAATCTAATTTTTAATGAAGCTATTATTATGCACTATATATAAACTGTAAGCTGAAATAATAAAAAATAAGTTATAACAAAACTAATGATCGTAGACTCAATAATTTTAAGTTGCGACTTTGAAAAAATTTCGATCCATTTATCTCAGCTAATATTTGATAAATGAGCACAAAAATTATAACAGGTGAATATCAGTGTTTGCAAAAAACCTATTAAGAACATGCAAAAAATATGTTGAAGGAATGTGCTCCGTTCACTTCATTTTCATTAGAGCAAATTTGCATAACTTCGGAAATCATTCAATAGGACGTAGAATTATAAACATGTCTTGTATGCGACAAAATGAATCCGATGTTTGATGAATGTTGTAAGAAAATAATGAAAAAATTTGACGGAGAAAAATGCAGTCCGATATTTTTGTCGAGAAATGCAAGAATAAAAAGGGAGTCAGTAAATTGCTTGGCAAACAATTACGTTTTGGTTTTAAAGCAATGAAAAGTTTGATTAACTTTAAAGACTGCTTAATTAATGTATAATGCAAGATCTTGTAAATTCAGGTCAGTTCCTACTCATTTTTATGTTTCTATCATTTAATTACGGTTCGATTTCATATTATTCAGCAGTTGATTATTGCAGACTGTTTTATCTAACTGATTAATCCTTAATTTAACCATTATAACTTCCTCATCTGGAGCACGTTATAAAGTTTTTTTAATCTAATTTAGCCAGTGGATGATTCCATAACTAGGAAAGTTAAGAATCAGAAAAAGCAAACAATCACTAATAAGCTCTGAAATGAAGTATATGTTAAATTTTCGAAATTCAAAAGAATGAGCTGTTTTTAGACAATTAAAATGTAATGTCAGACAAATGCTTGATGGCTAAAAAGAAGTTAAATCTACTTAACAATTGTTATTCTGTAGAATTTAAATAGCTAACTTTATTTTTGATATACAATCTGAATTTAAACATGAACAAATCGCGTTCAAAAGGAATGCATCACACCACTCGGTTCGAGCATAATTTCATTGTTTTATATCAGTTATTCACATGAAAGTAAGCCACTGAGAAGTGAGATAAAAATTGATAAAATATAACAAACAATTATTCTGCAAGGCAGTTGATCAAAAACAGTAAACTGGAATAGTGAAAACACATGAATTGTTCAGAATTTCCAACTCCAATTAGAATTATTATAAAAATACGAATATTTTAAATAATTTATATTGTCGTCCTAATAAGAAATGTATATATATTTGACTCAAAGTTCTAACCATCATTCAAATTTTCGCCCAACAACTGCTTCCTTCCGAAAAATATCTCCATAATGAACAATTCATATGCAAATTATTACAAATACATCAAGTGTTTAGAAAATGGCGACACAAAGTCCGATAACAGAATAGATGACTTTCCAAAATTACTTTCAAAATAAAATAAGGCTAGAGAAAATTTTTATGATGAAGGAATACTGCAGAATGAACAAGGAATGAAATACAGCTTGATGATGACTATGTGTGCTAATGATATACAGTAATTGAAAGTGGACAAGATATTGATTGTACAAAGTTGCCTTGTAAATACATTTAATGAGTGAAATTTTGCAGCCAATTCAAATTTGCCCGTTCTTTTGACATTTTAATCAATATATAAGTAATACATATTGGAAGCGAATACTTCTAAAGTGCACAAGTTTATACATGAGTTGATATCTGACTCATTGGTCGTTCCAGAATCCGAGATATACCATTTTGCACGGGGCCAACAGATTCCACATCTGGTGAACTGATTTCAGCTAATGTTCTGAACAACTTGCCCTAAAGGTGAGTTTTTCTCAAAAAATTACTGTCTAATAATGGATGAATTTTTCAAAAAATATGCTAAAATAATTGAATGGCTTAATTATTCTGAACTGTAGATTTTCTAGTGGAAAAATGATTTTTTCTAGAAAAATGTTTCTTTATTAAAGCACTAACTATGTTAAAAGCCCTAATATATTATATTTTCGAAAAATTTGACGACGTGAAGATTTGGATCGTTATTAACTTATGAATTTTGTTAATGTGAATCCAGACAAAGACGTCATATAACGTTTATAGAAACATGTTGGGAGAAATAAAAGCTTGCTTGCATAGTCTCTAACATGTGTAAGAGATGCACTATATCGTCTAACTAACTGGTCATTTTTGAACCATATAGTTTCAGTAACAGAATAATAGCGAGGATTACTTTTTTATCACTATTTGGAATCAAACATTTAATGAAAATAACATCTAAACTTGCCCTCAACCCTTGGTAGCTATACGGTTCGGTAATGCTAGCAACGCCGAGAGGAGCAGAAGTCGTCGTTGTACCCATGCTAGATGCAAAACTGTGGCAAACAGGATCAGTATGCGAATTTCGCTCATTAACACCAAAGTCAATGGAGGGAGCAGCAAATGCTGTATATGTACTGCCATTAGCAAATAATGAGGGTGACGAATAATCCAAACTTGGATTACTTTGAGGCACTGAGATATAGTCCTAAAATTCAATTTATAGTGAATAGGATTACAATCTAGAAGAATTTTGAATTTTTCCATTTAAAGTTGCTTTTCCCTTTGCTCAAAACATTTTAAAAATTGTCAATATCACTTTACTTTAACATAGAGCAGTTCATGACTTTCATTTGCCGTAGAATGATAGGTATCAATAAAATATTGACCACAATCAATAGCTTCGCACTTGACATTAACGTCAGAATAATTATCTGAAAGTTAGCCTACAACAACTATAGCATGTCAAAATAAATAGGATAGACTACATGCAAAGTACTACCCATAACGCTAAAAGTATTTCATAAAGTTTTATCGAATTTACCATTAAAGCAAGCTGTTTTTTTATACGAGCGTCGGCGATATCGCCAAATACCACGACAAATTGCAATGGATATAGCGAAAAGTAGTAAAGAAACAGCTAGGATACAATACTGTATTGGTACAATTTCTGAAAATTCTATTTTCAGGCTTAAAGAGCAACGCTTATTTTTACAATAAAAAGGTAGTAGAAATATTGTAACAAATAATCAAATAATTAAATTTACTGTTAAGAAATAATTGACAATTCAAATTTTGTTTACTATTTTATATTATTGTCATTTTTTATTTTTTTTTTGTTCACAGCAATAACTCAATAAATTTTTAATCCAATGAATACTAATACTCTTTAATTTAGCTATCTCCTGCTAACAAAGACTGAATTCATGAACAATAATACCGAATTCAAGTGCTTTTTGTAAATTCAGCTATAGTACAGAAAATCTTAATTAGGAATCAAAGCCTTATTATGAAATTTAATCAACTTGATCTTTGAAGTTTGGATAGTAAGAAGAAATTTAGACCTTTCTGTCTTTAAAAATTTGAAAATACAGATGGTGTCACAACTAGAATATCAAGAAAAATTAAAAAGGTACCAATAATTGTGTCAACAATACTTTTCTGCTTTAAACAGACTGTCTGAAAATCACGACCCAGTTCGTTATATGCAGTGCAATTATAAATACCGAAATCCGACTTCCGAACGTTTTGAATCACTAATCGACTTTCTACACCAAACTGTCGTGGAACTTGGCGAATCTGCATTTTCAAAAGCAAAAAGATGCATACAATTAATTGAGACGAATTTCTTAAAAAAAATCAAAGAGTTAGGGTACCGCAAAACAGTGAATATTATAACTACTAAAATATCAAAAAAGTACACCTGAAATCGACTTCCCAGACGCCCGTATTCAAATGATATCCCATTTAAGGACCACAAAACATCTTGAGGCTGAGGACGACCTCGAATCTAAAAAACAAGCTTGCAGTCATTTTTGTCTAATTTTTACTACTATTTTATTTTTATTGTTGACGGCAAAATGAAGTTAATAAAAACACTTGCTGAATGGCAGGAAAAATTAAAGGCAAGTCGAAAGTACATGTTATTTAATTGTTCTATGAGATAATGAGACAGGAAAAGCAAATTTTGCCAATAACTAATTAATCTATCAAAAATCATAATATTTCAAGTAAATTAGCTACCAATCAGATTTATTATTTCTTTTTCTCCACAAGTGTCTACAATCTACATTTGTACTGTAAAACACATAATTTTTGAATTTGGAAGCGAACTTTATGGAACAGATAATTTTAAAGTACGATAAGTATTCAATTTGCATTTTATCCATAATTTAACCATGAACAATTAAAAATAATAAAAAAAGGTAACGTACTGCTCAATAAGATGAGAGAAAAAAATAATATATATATTACCGAACCTCACAAATGATTTCAAGGTTTTCTCCAACAGCAGCAACAATATCCTCGTTCATGCTAACAGAAGGTGGTCCTTTAATATGCAGATAGTTTATTAAACGAGCAGAAGAAAAACCTTGTACAGTAGCAACACATTCATATTCACCACGCTGCCAACTTTGAACGGATTCAATAGTGAGACTAAAATTTTCAACTTTAATTTCTTTCGCTAAATGCCTTCAACTATGAAGGCATTTAGCGAAACACAGCATGTGCAACAGGCAAAAAAGGAATCTGTGATATATAACAATACTTTCCAAAAAAAAATCCTTTCAAGTTAAATTGCAAGGTTTAAAAAAATATTTGGCTTTTCTAATGATACAAATTAATTGTTTAAATCAAATAATCATTCGGCTAATGTTTCATGATACTTTTCCGTAACTATCAAAGAATGTGAACAGTTGAAACAAAAAACTCAAAATTTACTTATTTCCTCGAGCTATAACTTCACTATCAGCTACTTTAGTCCAGTGTACTGCTGGAGCAGGATTTCCGATAGCTTCACAGACAAAAGATGCTGTTTCACCTGGATTAACAGCCTGATGTTGCTCTCGTGATATAATGTAAGCTCCATCTGCAAATTTGTACAAATTAAATTTTATAGCCTCAAAATTTTAAATTCACACTTCAATCTCATTTGTTATTTTAAATTTGCGTTTTAGAACAATTTTTAGCAAATTCAACAACCCAACTAATTAAAAAGGGGCAAAAGTTACATGTAACATTTAAAATAATGGAATCAGACGAATCTCCGATCGAATTTTCTGCAACACACGTATATCGCGATTGATGGTGGTCAACTTTAAGTTCTGGTATGGATAACCTCTGTAAAAGTATTTGTAGTCAAATATTTTTTTCTAGTAAAGCTGGTCATTCTAGATCTTGACATCCTAAAACTGGTCATTCTAGAATGTTTTTTAAATTATATCTTTCTTCAGCACAGCGTCATTATCAAAAATATTTGGTATTTACTGACTGAACTTAATTCCTAACCGAAGTTTAACATCAGACATATTCAAGGATGTGAAAATTGTCACATTACACATTGATGCTATAAAAAGGGCAAAAAAGCAGATTATTACCACATATTACATAAATATATCTATATATCTCAAGAATTTATAATTTTCTAGCATAAATCACAAAACTACTTTTTTTTAGCGCTTAATGTTATCAAATTTTCAGCAATAAACTTTGATTACGAAAAGCGAGAATTTGATTAAATAAAAGCAAAATTTAACAAGTAACCGAATATACTGTAAACATTAACAAGTGTTGAATAAACAAACGAGTGAATTTACAATGTTTGTAGAACAAATCTTAAATCTGAGATAGAAAACCAGCTGAAACAAAAAGTATGCAACACTAACATTAGTTATTGCGGCGTCGATTTCTTTTCCATTCTCATACCACTTTATTTTAACATTTTTAAAAGGTTTTGCCTTGATATTGCACAAAAGTTCGGCAGATCCATGCTCACGTAAGTTAGAGTCATTTACTACCACCTTCACATCTGGTGAGTATCTTAGATCAAATTGAACGGCATGTATTTGTGGCTTACTATATGTTTCGTGATTCACTACGCATACCAAATATTTTCCATCGTCTTTTACTCGAGGTGCAAAACTGCATTTACATTTGAATAATTAAAAAATTTTTGCTTTCATTAATATTTATTTCATAAACAAAACATCTAACGACAATTTAGATTACCATTTCAACATAATTAATGATCATTTATCATGAATAATTTAATATTTACTCGTATTTCCACCATCAAGTGTTTCAATTGTGATTATTTTCTTACCTTATATTACTCATAGAGTTATAAGTTCGATCATTATTAAAACTAGTGTACTCAACAATGTCCGCATTTTGGATCACTTCAGCTTCACTTACAGATTCTAGAAAGCGCGGTAAATGATCATTTATGGCTCTATGTTTTCATAAAAATTTAGTTGATTTAATCAATGAATTAAGATTATTTATGGAGCAGACTGATTACAAGAATGAACAAATAATAGATATTCAGTGCAATGATATTTTTTCTTGAACACTTTCAAAATTATGAATGAAAAGTTATGAAATGTTAAGATTTGCAAACAATTCTATTTTCTTTTTTATAATTGCATGTTATAAATAATACCAGAATTAGCATTGAATTTTGTGTTAGTGTTGCCAAGCCAAGTTAAAATTTTTGTAGCTTTTGGATCATCTGATATGACCCAACTTATGATGGCCAAGGGTTTGCCATATCTGCTTATACAAGACTGTTGAGTAAGTTGTCCAACTACACCTTTCAGTACTGATTCGACAGATAATAACTTTGGATCTTCTGGTTTAACTGCAAGATTATTGGTTGAAAATAATATTTACCATTCAAGGAACTTATTTCAAGAATCGAATTTAACAAAATTCCACGTAACCAAATATTACTCACCCAAAACTGTCAGTTTGGCAGTGCTGGACAGAACTGTCGGACTATTATGGGCAGCTTCTATCTGACAGGCGTATTCGTCATCATCATTCATCTGCACATTAATTATCCGCAAATTGTATTCCCCTTTACTAACTTGACCTTCCATAGTGTACCTTTTGAATAACGATAAATTATAATCATTTCCTAAGCCAAAACCGTTTTTCATCCACTGTACTGCTCCTTTCTATAATAAAAATGATAATCATCACATTTTTAAGAAATATAACATTTTTCAAATTTTTTTTGACCATCATATTAAAAAGACAGTCATTAAACAAGATTAATATTCTTAAATGTACATAAACAACCTGTGATTCGACGCGACACTTTAATATAACCGTACCACCAAGTAATACGCTAGTATTTACTGGTCCCTCGATAATCCTCTGCTGTGGTTTCACATAATTTGAAATGGCTAATATGTACAGGAGCAACCACCTCATTTCTAAAATACCGTTTTACGTCCATTAATATCTCTTGAGTGCAGATACATTGCATACAGTATGTTTTTCTTATCTCCACTATCGAATCTTGGAGTAATTTCTAAATGATTACTCACTGAATTTATTCAGAAAAAATTACATTAGAACACGCCTTAAAAACCATAATTTGGCAGTACCACATGATATAATTTTATTGTTTTTAAGTTATTAAAAAGTACTAGCAATAATCATTCGGAACTATCGCCTAGTTCCTTGACCCATTACATCCTAATATTTTTTGAGGCAAATTTTTAAAAAAAGAAAGAAACTAAACTACCAAAAAAGTTTCCTAAAGAATAAAAAGCTTATGTGAAAAAATTATAACAGAATTATGATGCAGAAATAGTATCAGTTCCTTGATCTCTGGAAAAAATAAAAGTGTTGGGAGACATGGAAAGAATAGTATGCTATTTTTTTCACTACGGAAAACCAACTGGGAAAGTGCAATTGTCGAAAAAATACTCAAGAATCAAACATGGGAAAACAGTTTGTGAACAGATTTATATCTGAGAAACAAAATATAGATTTTATAAGGAGCGAATGAAAGTATGATTTAAGCAAAAATGCATTTTTGGACTTTGGTTTTGGCACAATAACAAACAGAAATTTAGAAATAATTTTTATATAGTTTATTTCATATCGACATGATACCAGTTAATGAGGGTTATTTAATTCCCTTATTTTTCTTAACAATGTGAATAACAGAACAAATTACCAGACCACCACCTTAAACAAGCATCAGTTTCAAATACTGGAAATTTAATTCCACTTAACCTTTAATGATATTCACAATATAAAATGATAAAAACGTTTATTGATTTATGGCAGTAATGTGTATAAAATGCCCATAATGAATTAATATATGAACATTGAAACCATTTTTGCTAGCAAAAAAAAGTATAAATCTAATCATAAAAATTCTTCATATTAATACACATAACATAAACAAACTGCATACAGTACAAGGACATATTTCAAAGAAAAAAAATTATACGCAAAACGGATTTATAAGAACTGTAAGACAAAATATTAAGAAAAGGCGATAAATATCTGCTAGAAATGATGATTATTTATAGATGTAATTTTTCACAGTTATTCATAAACAAGCCATCTCAACATTTGGAAAAGTTTTTTGAGAAACGAAACGAAGTTAAATGATTATAATTTAGGTAAAGATAAATGATCTACTTGAAGTATCTGTTAAATATGGTTTTTAGATTCAAGTGCAAACTTTATGAGAGAGAAAAAAACAAGACAAAAATAGAGCTAAGGAATATGAAATGGAAGACTGAAAAGATTTAGAAAATCAGTTCTTTTGAACCGTAAACGATGTATATATCGCTAACATAATTAATCATTATTTCAACACTTTAAAAAGATGGATATAAAAAGTCAAATCTTAATCTCAGTGACTAAATTTTTCTTTCGAATACATTACAATGTTGGTACTAATATTCAGTTTTGAAGTATAGTTCTTGTTTTTGAATGTATCTAATATTTAAAAAATAAAGGGACGTATTATT